CTTCCATGTGTGTTATTTGAGGAAATTCATGGGAGATGTTCCCGACATAATTCCAATCTCAGAGTTAAGGATGGATGAAAATAAAAGGCTGATCGAAGAGCCCGAGGCAATTGTTGACCGTAAGACTAAGAAGTTACGACGCAAGATGGTCGACTTAGTGCTAGTCCGATGGAAACATTCGAATGGGCCGAATCTCACTTGGGAAACAGAGGATGACATGATGAGTCGTTATCCACATCTGTTTGCTGATGCATGATTCCGGGACGGAATCATCCTAAGGTGGAGAGAATTGTAACGCCCGGGTTTCAGGGCTAAGCATTTTTGTCAATGTAATAGTCTAGGTCAACTATTGTAACTCTTTTTGAAGTAATAAATATGAAATATTTGAGTATTATGTGAATTATGTGTGTTTATGTGTTTATTTTTTTTTATTATAAATATATAATAAAGAATAAAAATGAGCGTCAAAATTAAAGTGTGAAATAATCCCGATATCTCTTCATAAAGTTACAGAATATGTCTCAAGGTTTCCGTACATATAAAGAATGCCGAAATCCGAGCTATAACGAAGAAGTTATGGCCCGCCGAAGTTTTACGGCAAAACCGGCACGGCACCGGGAGACGTAAATAGTGAATTTACGATAGAAGACTTTTTAGCCTTAGCAATCTAAACAAAAGTCGTAGAATATGTTAAACTAAGAACATCGATAAAAAGAACGCCCAAATCTGACTTCGTATGAAGAAGTTATGATTTTTCTAAGATTCGGCTTAGCAGTGTACAGCCCGAAACTCGAATTTTAGTTCGAGCGGTTTTTGGCTTACGCGACCTAAATGAGAGTTGAAGATCTCATTCATAGGAACTCAACGGTAAAAAGACAGACGAAAACGGAGTCCGTATGAAGGAGTTATGAACTCTTCGCGGTCATTTAACAGTCTAAACGCCTCCTACTGTTAAATTTGAGATCGGTCGAGAATTAGCCGACGGAGTCTAAACGAAAGTTGTAGATCTTGATTTTACCTACGCGTGGATATAAAGAACGTCGAAAACGGAGCTCGTATGCGAAAGTTATGATTTTTCTAAGTTTGAAGGCTGATACGCGATAGGGGGTGACGTGGCACCACCAGAATTGGACACGTGGCACCACCAGAAGGCCACCACATGGACTGACTCGACGAGTCATGACTCAGACTCGACGAGTCCACCCAATTCCTCCCCTATAAATAGAGGTGCGGGTTCCCTCATTCTTCACACCTTCCTAAACTATTCTTTCTCTCTCTAGACTCTCTCTCTAGCCCCCTAACCCCCCCTAAAAGCCTAGGTAAACCCCCTAGCACCCGAAGGAAGCCCCGAGGCTCCCGGAGTCCCGAGAAAAGAGCCTTTCGGCTCGGAACGCTGCTCCAGCGAAGCCCGGTTTTGCGAAAAACCCGCTGTAAGTGAGCTATGCCTACCTACTTTAGTATAACTTATGTTTTAATATAGTAACATTATTAGGAAGTTATAATGAGTATTTGGGCTATTATTATGAGTTATATTGAGTGTTATTTAACGCTTATATAATAATAATAATAGTCAGACTATTAATTAGTCACGGTTATCGTTAGACTAAACCCTAGTGGTACTGGTACTAGGTTTTATCGAAGGAATATCATTTTGAGAGTAGCGAAGCGCTGTCCGAGTGCTGAGTCACCACCTAATCAGGTGAGTGCATAGTTACCTTCAACTTACACATAGATATGAAGTATTTTACGTGCTATGTGTGCATATTATCTGAATACTTGCTATCTATGCTAGATGAACGTTGTTATACATGTTTTCAATGATTTAAACTGTATATGTATTTTATATCTACGAAAATGTTGGGGTAAAACATGGGTAGATGTAATAGGTGATGTGTGATAAAATGATGAGAGGCCTCGATGTTGTTGTTGTTGATCCAGTCATCTAGCGGAGTATAGATGACGACCACGGACTCTTCTAGACAGTCCAGTGGAACACTAGCAGGCTCGCAACCTGTAGGTGTTGTGAACGATGTGTTCACCGGTGTACTCCATCCCCCACATGGTTGCCTATTAGGACATTTATTGCTGAGGAATCCCCTTAGCAGTAGTGTCCGTCCCGATGATGATCCTTAGGCTAGGTCCCTTATGATAGGTGTTTAGGGACGTAAAGTGAGGATAACGGGAACGGGTAATCGGGTTATTGTTGATTGATGAAATTAATAAACTTATTTATTGTGGGTTGAAAACCCTATGTGCTCACCAGGCTCCCAAGCCTGACCCACTCAGTTTTATGCATTACAGGTAGTGGCGCATGAGCATAGGTGTGATGTTTTGGACGAGGGATTACGGATATAGGCCTGTAGATATGAAATAATGTAGTAAGGCTTATATTGTACTGTTTATACTTTTGATCTGTACGAACATGAGATCCTGAGTCTTTTAATGAAATACATTTATATGGAAATGCTTTTGATAAATCTTTATCATATTATTGTTTTGGGACAAATTCCGCAACCCTTTTTATTAAAAGATAACTCTGATTTTGAAATAAAGTATAAACAAAACCGGTCTTTTTTGGCCGTGATTTTGGGGTTGTCACAATTACAACCATGCAAGAAGAGCTAGTTGACCTTCACAAAAATCAAGTGTGTACTCTTTTCCCTCCTCATTAGGTTCACCCTATTGTAGGTACAAGATGGGTCTTTCTAAACAAACTTGATAATGATGTAGTCATAATTAGAAACAAAGAAAGATTGCTAGCCAAAGGATTTACTAAGATCGAAGGACTCGACTACGATGAGACTTTTGCTCCTGTTGCTCGTCTTGAAGCTATTGGAATCTTTCTCGCTTAGGCTGCTCACAAAGACTTTAAAGCTTACCAAATAGATGTTAAAGCACTTTTATCAATGGTGAACTTGATACTGAAGTATATATTTAACAACTATTTGCGTTTGTAAATCTTTCATATCCAAACTACTGTTACAGACTTCAAGAAGCTATTTATGGCCTCAAGCAATCTCCACGCGCCTGGTACAAGATACTCACTAATTTCTGAAGCGTTTTAGTTTTCAAAGATGAATTCTTGATCCTACATTATTCTAAAGATTGAATGGAAACCATCTCGTGTTAGTTCAAATATATGTAGACGACATCATCTCTGGATCAACTGATCCAACGATGGTTGTTGATGTTGCCAAATTGATGGTTAGTCAATTCCAGATGAGTATCAATCGTGAATTAAGTTTCTTCCTCGGACTGCAAGTTAAACAGGCCAATAGAGGAATCTTCCTTCATCAAGAGGAATACATTTATGACCTTCTGAAGAAATATTCTATAGACAGTTGTGCCTCTGTAAAGGTTCCATTGAGTTTAGGACACAAGATCTTCTCAGACCAATCAGGTGTTGTCGTTGAACTTTTTTTTTGTTCTATCTAATAATGAAATTGGTTTTTTCAAATGCCTCGATGACCAACCCATCAAGTGTTTCCGTTGAACTTATTTAAGTCATGATGGTCATGATGTTTCATTTCAAACCCATTAAATTTGGTTTCGTCTAAGGCCTCAATGTTTCCAATAGAACATGATCTATAATAAAATGGTACCACCTGGTCCTCAATTCTTCCAAGAACATGATTTTCTAATGTTTCTATTAGACAGTGCAAACTTCTTGGAAAAATTGAGAACCATGCATCATCATTCCTATTTTGTTTAGAAACCCATTAAATTTTCTTTCGTCTAATGCCTTAGTAAAGACATCAGTAATTTTTTCATGAGATGGAACAAAAATGAGTTCGATGTTTCCTTTCAAAACATGATATTTAATGAAATGGTACCGAATATCAATGTTCTGATGGGATGGTCATGGAGTGCTGAGGCCATAATGATATTGCCTGGTCCTCAATTCTTCGAAGAATTTTGCACTCTCTAATGGAAACATTAGAAAGGTGAATAATTTCGAATCAAAACTTTTTCTTCTCGTAATTGTTTCTTCTCGTAAAATAAAGGATCATTATATGTCTTTTTGCTTAACCTTTCTTCTAGTCTTAAGTTTTTTAGTCTTGTCATCATTTGAAGATTAGTCTGATATAGTTACATCGAATATCTTGAGAGAATTCTCTTCTCAGAATATTCTAATTCGGAACGATATCTCTAAAGTACACATTGGAATTCAAATTCGAAATGGTAATGTGATCTAATCACTTATCCCCCTCAGATCTTTGTTCTTCAACTCTCAGAACTTCAAATCTGTTTCAAAACTTTTCTTCTAAGATCTTCGTACATTTTTACCTCTGATATTCTGTTAGAGATTGTCCCATCTTAAATTCTATACATGTACTTATGATGTGTTTTAATTTTTTTTTCCGTAGTATCTTTGTTAAGAATAAAACTTAAGCGATTGAATAGATTCAAATAGGTACAAGAATCAAGAACACAGAATGAATATCAAATGTGTTGAATGGTTATCAATCACATCCTTTGAAGAGCTCGATAAAGAACTACTACTATAAAAGCGTGTAGGGTTTACAAAAATGATGATTACAAGATACGGTGCATGCATGCACATTAGTTAGTGAAACCCTAATAATAATTAATGGGCGGACAGGCCCAACCCAGATACAAAACGGACTAAAATGTAGGCCCATAATGACGAAACAATTAAGGCCCAACAATCTCCTAATTTGCATTAACTGAGGCAGGAGACCTTCACGGTTGAGTTCTCTTCTAACTTCAAAAAGTTTCGGAATGATTCTCAATAAAGCTTTGCGAACCTGGATGTACCAAAGGATCATATCGGAGAAACACTTCTTATCCCCTTTACGATTCGCTTTGCAGTTATCCATAAACTCCAAAACATATTGCAGGCAAGAAGTGGAGTAAAGATGCTTATCAGCAAGGTGAAAGCAAACTTTATGGAAATCAGCATATGCTCGCTCTTTCATTTGAAAGGCCATGAACAAACCTTCCTTTCGTATTTTTATAGCTTCATTTTTGTCAAAATCTTATGGATTTTCCTTGGGGAATACAACTGGCTTCTGCTTGAAAATTGATGCAATCTCAATGTCCATTTTTCCAACCTCTTGAATGTACGAAACCAACATGTTCTTGAGATGAGAAACAACAGGTTCATACTTTTTTTCTTCCTTGAGCAACAGATTGAGCAGTAAAATCCAATCGTACGGGTTCAGGCATGGTACATCAGCAACTGTAAATCCACATACTTGACTCGTAGCACCTCTAGCAACCTTGAATCGAGCGTTTGGGAACCTATCGGTTTCAATCGGCCCTAGAACCTTCACAACTGTAATCTTTTTTGCACTCGAGGTTTCATATTGGGGCTTCATGTGCTTTATGTAGAAGGAGAAGAGTAGATGATCAGCACCGTTGTTAGTTGGAGGCACATTCGCAACTTTGACAAAGCTACAAAATTTGAAGGCTTTTGATGTAATTGGAAGATGCAGTTGCGAATCTTGTGTATTCTACAAGTCGAAAGACACAACTGGCTCTAACCAATTTTGGCTTGGATTATTGATAGCCTCATTCATAAGTGCCTCCAAAGTCCACAATGGAAACAAAAGCTTTCTGCTTTCCAAAGTGACTTGAGCTTCTCTTTCAGCTTTCTCTTTCTCTTCTGCCTTTCTTGCTACTTGCATGCTTTCATTAAGAGTTTCATCACGATCCTTTCTCTTGAGTTTTTCAGTTTCATCTTCTTCCTCTTCTTCTTCATCATGAAACATTTTCTTTGCCTTTTGAATGCGAAGCTTCATTAGCATTCGGTTCGTTTATCGATTTTGTCTTTTCTTCATTCCAGTTGATTTTGGATCACCAGTTTTTGGAGGTACCTTTGTAGATTCATCTCCCCCTTGTTTTGAAGGTACCACCAACTCCGAAACACCCTCCAATCTGTTAAGCATGGCGAACACCAGCATGCTTTTTTCAGCCAAATGCTTTCGGATAATGATCGTGATCAGAGAGTCATGAGTCTCAATGATGTATGATAGTAAGGAGTTGACATTAGCAATACATCTTTTCATGACTGCACTCTCAGATATGAGTTCATCGATTTGCGAATTGGTAGTAACAAGCTGAACAGTTAAGACTTTGACTTTTGCTGTCTTGCTGGAAAGAGAATCCATTATTTTGCTCTTTGTGGCTAAGTCATCATAAAGCTTTTGAATTTTGGCTGAGATGGAGGAGTTGAGCTGTGAACTGTTAGATGGGATGCCAGAGCGAGCCTTTTCTAGAGACTCCTTCTATGTTCAAAGTGAAGTACTCAGACTGGTTATTGCTTCATTCGCCTTCGTAGTATTTGATTCGAAAGAAGTCTGGAAAGTGGTCATGAAGGATCAAGCATTAGTGTTTAGTTTATCAAAATTTTCGATCATTTCCTTGCATACTGAAGCTGAAGCATCGACAACTTGATTGGATTTGTCAAGGTTCGCAGTGTGTTCTTTCATCATTTGTAATGACCCAAAAATCAAGGGTAGAAATTTCATTTTTCAATATAGTCAAAACACATATATCTTTAAATCCAAACATTCCAAAAACATGATTAATTAAAACATTCAACAGAGTTCGTCCCAAAATCATATATTGTAGAAACACGGATGTGTGTGCTGCTATCAAGCCAAGCCCTTCCTTTCCAAATTGATGAAACCTAAAACCATAAACAAAATTGTAAGCACGAAGCTTTATGAGTTACCTATAGCATACCCACACAATCCACATAATCCATATTAGCTATAGAAGCTACATAAACCACATAACCCATACATACAAACATATAAGGATGTCGTGGGCTCCTCCGAAGGTCTTACTTTAGGATGCCATGGGCTCTCCCACATGGTATTACACCTGAGTGCCATGGGCTCCTCTATGGTCTTTAGTTGGAAAGCCATGGGCTTTCCCTTATGGTCTGACATCTGAGTGCCATGGGCTCCCCCATGGTCTTTACCTAGAATACCATGTGCTCCCCCACATGGTCTTATAACCAAGTTCCATGAGGACCCCCAAGGTCTTTACCTGGAATGCCATGGGCTCCCCTACCTTGTCTTATAACCAAGTGTCACGGGCTTCCTCCAGGGTCTTCCATGCATGTATCATAGAGACAACTAGCATACAACCCAACTAGTATACCACATATCACTGTATAAACTAGTGTACCATATAACATAAAATAGGTCGGCATTGGTGCCTGCGACTCATTGGTATGGTGAGGAGACTCACCTCGAATGCAGAAGCTTCCCAAATGACAACCTTAGCTGCTGCCCCGCCGACTTCCCGAGATATCAATACCAACCAGTATACCTAATTAGTAATTTAGTTCCATACTAGAATCATTAATCTATACTTGGGGACAAAATGACCATTCTACCCCTGGCCCAGTATGATCCAAACTGAGGCCCAAGCCTAAAACAAAATCCTACACTATGATGTCCATAAATCCACTAATGGCCCAATTTTCCAAATTTGGATTCAACTCCTTACGGGCCTTACTCTAATCCCATAATCGCCTTCATTATGATTTAGTTTACTCCAAGCACCCCTTGGGACCAATTTACCCAAAGTAAAAGGCCAAAGTGAAATTCAACAGTCAAGGTCAACAGTCCATGTTGACCCAACTCGTCGAGTGCATCCAACAATTCGTCGAGTTCCTTCAGAGTCCATGCAACCGAAATCCCAAGTCAGCTCCCCAGTTTGTAACATCTGGACTCCCAAGTATATTATTTCATGTGTTTAATGTTGAGGTTTACTGAGTGACTCAGACGCGTTGTGAGCCGAACTCGTCAAGTAGAGTCACGGTTTACCACAAGGGATTAGTGGTCTACTCGACGAGTCCGAGAGTCGACTCACCGAGTAGACACTGAGTGGTGAAACCCTAAATCCCCGGATTTGGGACCTATTTAAGGGAACTTATAGCTTCACTTGAGGCTCACCTTCACTTAGAGTAAACCCTAACGTTCTTTTGAGCTAAAGAGTGTGAAAGGAGCTAATTTTGGGGTCTTTTGGTACATTTCTTTTGAATAGGAGGGAAGGATTCATCAAGGAACAAGAAAGGGGCCAGTGGAACAGTGTTATTTCGTCCAAGACCTTCTGGAGAAGGTGAAAATTTCTCACATTTCTCCTTGTGGTGATTAGATCTCATATTTTGATGAATAGGGCTTTCTATCACCTTTTTTTATTAAGATATGAGTACATGGAGTCCCTTTCTAGGTCTAGACTTCAGATCTGGACCTTGTGAGGTCTAGAGGGTACAAAGGCTCAAGCTTTATTCAGTTACTTAAGGATTTATTGTGTTTTGGTTCCCTTGTTGGAGTTGTGATGGCATTTAAAGCAATATATGCCACGCATGGTCATAAAGATCAAAACTTTACGTGACTTTTGGACCATAGGAGGCTAGATCTAGGGTTTGGTGTAATGGATCTGACTTTAAACGTCTGAATGGGAAATTTGATTGAGTAAACTCGCCGAGTCTATGAGCTAACTCGACGACTCGGTTCGGGTCCGTCCTGGTGTTCACGGCCAAGCGATAACTCGTCAAGTTGGGGGTCAATTTGTGACATCCCCATTTTCACGGTCAGAAAAAACAGCTTTTGTTTATGCTTTATAAAAATCAGAGTACCTCTTTTAATAAAAATGTTGTAGAATTTGTTCCCGGTAAAACATTATAAATACGTTATCAAATCATTTTCAAAGAAAAGTATTTTTATTCATTTTAAAACATTTGGGATGTCATCGTTAATAGAGAAACCCAAGCATAAACAAAACTTACATTCACTATCACTAGTGATTTATATCTCCTTAATCTCTTAGTGTAATGTGACTTCATATCAACACCTGTGATATAAATAAACTGAGTGGGTCAGGTCGGGAAACCTTGTGAGTACATAGAGTTTTCAACCCACAATATGTCACACCCCCAAACCTAGGATGGCGGAAACGTCCGGGAGTGGAGGACTTCATGTATAGTATCATAACCACAATTGCATTAGTAATTTAAGCAAACACAACCAACGTATATATAATTGAAAGAGTTACATCGTTGTATGAATTTACATGTTTCCAAATCAATTACAATATGTTGTCAAAATATGAAATGTTGACTCCTTAACGTCCCATCCTCAAAATGCACCTGGTTACCTGTTTAGTAATTTCCTGAGAATACAAGTTGTTTGAAAAAGTGTCAACACAAAGGTTGGTGAGTTCATAAGCTTTTGTTTTAAACTTGATAAAAGCCTTTCTCTTGTAAATGTCATGCTTGTTCCAGAAAAATATGATATTTTCCTTAAAATGTGTAATGTAGTCTTATATCCAAAGACCGAAATGTATATGTAACTTTTTCTTACTTATAGAAAATAATGTAAGTTTAAATCAACATAAACGCGTTTGAATTCAATGAAATTTTGGTAAATTCTTATGTTTGTTAATACTTTATGTGAGTTATTATAACCATGCTATGGCCTAGTTGGCCTGAAACGATGTTCTTCAGGCATCGGAAATGTTTATGACATTTGTCACCCCACACCTGCCGGTCTAATTGTTGCATGCAGTTAAGGTGTGGGTTTGTCAAACCCAATATAGATCTATATACAACTATCACGCTCTCCCTCCAGGAGACTCTGGTTACAATACAAGACTTATTGGTAAATGTGAAGCGAATGTCTCACAAAGTCATTAACAAATTTCCATGTAATGTAATAAAAATCCCTTTTCGTATAAATGTATCCTTTTTGTATGAGTGTGTTATGCAATGTATCATAAACTATACCTATTATAGTTTATAAAAAAAAGGGTAGTAGTGGTTATGTACGTAAACTATATTTAACATAGTTTATTCAAATGTTTGTATGAAATGGATGTACTTTGATTATAACAATTTTGTTATCCTTTATATTTCATATATATATATATATATATATATATATATATATCAAAATCCATTTATTAACTGATGCATGTCTATATACCAAGACAAAATGTCATTTATTTGCAATAACATACATTCACATAAAGATATATACCTTTCTCAACATGTTACAAGGTGAAATAAAATTGTTAGCATTTTTCTGTTATTAACAGTTTCTATTACTGTTATTAGAAAATTTATAGAAAATTCATAACGGATCCAAATCAGAATCCGTAAATTCTGGGAGTTTGGAAAGTGAGTCTAGTTTGTTCATAAATTTTTACATGATTTTTAGTGACCTCCTACTTAGATGAATACGTCCATAAACACAGACTGGTTTGGATTGGTTCTTGAAATAATAGGCAGTTTTGTAAAAATCACTATAAATTGTAGAAAAATCGTATGGGAATGTGCAAGTAACGATTTTAAAGCTAGAACTTGAAATACTTGAACCTTGTACTGTTTTCAAAACTAAAATGTTTTAGTTGACCAAAATAGTCCGTGAATGGAGTCCAAAATTTCTGATGAAAGCTGTTAGAAGCATTTAGTTGTGTTCTTGGTGATTTAACTTGTATTTCCTCCCCCCCCCCCCCCCCGCTCTTAAAACTTAATAAAATAAGAAAATGTAGGGGTATGAACTCACCTTGAGTGATTTTGGTGGATGGATGTTGGAGAAAAGAAGTGTTCAACTCAAGAACACTTGAAGGATTACTTTGAAGATTCAAGAATCTAACACAATAATGATGGAGTTTGTGTAAGAAATCAATGATTTGAGTAAGATGAAGTGTAATTATCACAAGGAGGATGAATTATACTTACCAAGAGTGTAAGAAAGCTTAATGATGAGCCTTGAAAATCCAACATTGAGGGAGAATGTTTGAGAGAAAAGTTGAGTTTGATCTTTGGTGAAATGTGAATAAGTGAGTGAGAATGAGGAGAGAGGATGAGTTGTTCCAGCTCTTGGACATGGGAGAGGCTGAAAAATGAGTGGGAGGGTACAAGGAAGTGACAAGGTATGGTGGGGAGGTGTGTGGGTAAGTCATGGAGTTGGTATGGGAAGTTGCTTGTGTCATAAACTAAAGAAAAGTCAACACTCCACCTCTTGCACGTCGCCCACTCTTCTTGGATAAGTTTTGCATTAAAAATGTGATTAATTAAGATATATGGGTCTTAATATGCTAAAATAAAGTTTTTGGTGAAAATCCCGCTTTAAAATGATGAAAAAACGGGCTTAAAATGAAGTCGTAGTCGAAAACCGGGAAAAAGGGGTTTTTCCTGCGAAGCCCCTCGGACCTGGCCCTAAAGGCTTTGGGCTTCGGATCCTGAGGCTTCGGGCTTCGGATCTGAGGCTTGAGGCTTCGGGCTTCGGGTCCTGAGAGTAGAGGCTTCGGACTTCTGTTCCTGAGGCTAGAGGCTTCGGCCTTTAGTTCTAGGGCTAGAGGCTTCGGCCTTCAGTTCTGGGGCTTAGGCTTTGGATCTGAGGCTAGGTCTTCGGGCTTCGGATCCTTGAGCCTATTTTCTCGTTTTTACCTTGTTTCAAGCCATTTTTGACCCGGTTAAGGTTCGGGATGACCCGAATGATTACAAAAAGTTACGGGAACTTTTGAGAGAGATTTGGGAGAGATTTCAAATAGAAAGAGATAGAGTGAAAACGATTGAAGGAGGTTTCGTTTGTGACCTTTTTGAGTGTCCGGCTTCGCAACACAAGGTCCATAAACCCCATTAATCCATGTTTTAGTGTCCTACACACTCCCGATGAGTGTGTAATAGTGTTTAATCGCTTTGGTTCAATGTTTAGCATTATAACGGCTATGGAAATTCAAACATACGAATTTTCCAATGATGCTTTCTCATTAAAATAGTGAGTTTTTTAGTAATTACACAATGTAAACCCTAATATACAAGGGCTAATTGAGTCGTCCGGTTTGACTTGCTGACTTTGTTTGACTTTGACTTGACCTGAAATTGACTATTGCCATACAATAATATAATTATTATGTTTAATCATTAAACAAT